CACTATATCAATTATACTGTAATATTATTAGTAATATTACATGTAATATAAATATATAATTATAATATCATATTATTATTATTAGTAGTATTATATTGCATTACATTACAATATTATAAATATTATATGTATATACAATATATTATATATTATATTATAACATATTATTAGAATAGTATTTCCGCATGCTAAATTTTGTGTAGAGACATACGTGTGTTTTATGCACCATTATCCTTTTTGTATGTCTCATCACAATCTTTGGCACATTGTTTTCACATAGACATATGTGTGTGTTCTTGTGTGTATCAAAAGACTGTTTTCTGAGCACTAAGGGTGAAAAGGCCTTATAGAACCACAACTTCTGGGATTCCATAGCATTGACCATTGCAAGTTAGAGTTGTGTTGAACTCACATTAATTCTATGGAATAGGTGCACCTATCAGTAAATCAGTATTGTCAAGAAAAAAGGGGGTTTGAGGGAATCGGAACAGCTCTAGAAATGCAAAATATGGTCTTGGAAGCCATATACAGCCTCAAAGCCATACTTTTTCACTCATCCCAACTTCACAGCTTGAGCGGCATACGTGTCTGGCGCACTATATGCTGCAAATATATCCGTTGGAAACAAGGGACGTTATAAGACATCTCTTTCCATCTGCTTATGTGTTTCTACTTTCTAATGGCATGTAACTTCAACCAATGCAATCTGTTCTCCCACGGTTATTGTTATTATTATTATTCATAAGCAGTGTCTAGTTCTTAGCATTATAAAGATAGCATGCCATTTTGAAAAGGTGTGTTTCTCGCTTTTCAACAAGGCTGGGAGTTATGATGCGCTCCGGATGTGTTTGGACAGCAACTCCCAGCAAACTCAGATGGCATTTGGCAACTGTGATGAATCCTGGGAATTGTAGTTTGTGGGCCAACCTGAAGGGCCCACGATTCCCAACAACCATGTCAGACTGCACAGAGAAGCCAATGAAATCTACAAGCATGTGGACAATTCCAACAGAAAGGAAGAAACAATGAAAATGAACAAAATCTGGCTCCTAGTTTTTTAAAAACTCTAAAATCAGGACAGTAAACAAAGAGCAACACTCAAAGTCAGAGGAATTCCAGACAAGAAACAATCAGGGCCAGCTAATCACCTCCCAACAAATGATTTCCCCCAGGCAGTAAGAAGGCAGACCTTGAAACTGCTAGGCCATTCAATGCTAATCAGCGTGGCCAATTGAAATATTCACACCTACCTCCAACAGACAAGAGTTCTTTCTCCCACCCTGGACATTCCATTTTCCTAGTTTCCAACAGACCTCACAACTTCTGAGGATGCCTGCTATAGATGTAGGTGAAACGTCAGGAGAGAATGCTTCTGGAACATGGCCATAGAGCCCGGAAAACTCACAGCAACCCAATGATTCCGGCCATGAAAGCCTTCGACAATACATAGTCAATGCTCTTTTTCAAATCTTAAGAACATTATTTTGTTGCTTTTTAAAAATAGCTCTTGGTATTGCTGAGAAACTAGATGTCTTTCTTTTTATATAGAGCTGTAGTTTAGGATGGAAAGCTTATAGCATCCTCTAGTGGAAGAATCATAGATTGGAAAAAAAACTTTCCGAATTATCAGATCACAATGAGAGCTACTTCCTGAAGTGTTTAGTTTTTGCCTCCTCCTCCCTCTGTATCCACAGATTCTGTATCCACATGTTCAACCATCCACATTGTGAAAATATGGTTTTAGACATCCAAACAGCAAACCTTGATGTTGACATTTTGTGTAATGAGCACCATTTTGCAATGCCATACTACATAAAGGGACTTCGATGTCCATAGATTTTGGTGGAATGGTGGGGTGGTCCTAGAACCAAACCAACAGATACCACAAATCCCATTGTATTGTTTCTGTGTATTATAATACTTTTGGTGTCTAGAAATGGTGTATCCATTCAGATTGGGTTCCACTTAACCCGAGTGTTGGTTCACAATCCCCTAGACTTTTGGGGGGCTGGACTGAAATTTGAAAAAAAACACTAATGGATTCCTATGCACACAGCAACGAAGAAGAATTTTAATTAGCATAAACTTACCAATATTTCAATGGGAAGTTTGGGCCTGCTTTTGGCTGATGAGAGAGTTAAATCAATAAGGATTCTTGTTGTGTGCCTTCAAGTTGTTGTGATGGGGAGATATTGGAAAAAGAGATATTTATTTATACATAAATTGTATGTACTTTACAAGCACTGAAATGTATAGAAAAATCAAGTTCTCTCTGTGCAGGTACAGCTGTACCAGGAGCTCCAATTTTGTTTGCTTTACGTTGAATGTTTGTTGTGATCCTAAGTTTCTGCAGATAGGTGGCTTCTTTTGGCTGCAATCATAGGACAAGCCACCTGTCAGTTATAGTTAGGTTCCCTGGTCCCGCCCCCTTTTTGGGGTTTTGGAGGGAATAGGAGCCATTTTGGGTTCAGTCCACACAGAGAAGCTTTCCATGTAGGACATAATACCAAGACCTCCTGTAGAAAGCTTCATCTTCTACAGCTTGACCGGGGAGAAAGGTCCCGTAGCTTAGCCGGGGAGATACACAGCCCACAGCGTGGCTGGGGTTATACAGCCCTACATCTCCTGTGCTGAAGGACTTCAGTCAGCCATCACGGAAACCTGCGTTCCTTTCCCCTGGAAGTCTACAAAGCTCTGCTTGGTAAGGGTCACTCGTGGAAGCCAGAAGTAGTTGGTACCCGGTGCAGGGGCTCCGCGCCAACAGAGGCAAAGACAGACTGCCCAGATTAGAAGTTAAAGATTTCCCCATTAGTTTGTATACAGTTAAGAAGATAGTGCCTGTTCCCCGTGGACAAGCTTGAGAGAGAGCCAATAGACTGTTAAGAAAGCCTTAAAGTACCTGTTTGTTTTCAATAATAAAGAATTTTGTTGAACCTTTAAGCAATCTAAAGACTCTGTTTTAAGGAAATCCAAAGGTCTTTAATCTGAGGCAGCCCCGGTGTCCCGGGCACACAGAATTTATGTCCTGTCTACAGTCTTATGCACAGGCCCAGCGTGCGACAGCACACTCTCTGTATCAGAAACCCAAGCTGACAGGACAAGCAAGCTATGTCCAGGCACAGCAAGAGGGAGGAGAACATTCCAGGGGGGAGATAAGCCCATCCTAGTAGCAACAGAGACTGGTACTAAAAGCCCAGCATCTAACTTCTAAGTAAGAAGCCCATCTCTCTCTCATGACAGGTCAAAGCAGGCCCCTTGATTGATGAATGTAAGCTGTAAGCTGCTCTTTAGAAAAAAATACAGACACGTGCCTTTTGTATGTTGGAAGATAGAATTTTAAATTTCTGTGATGCTAAAGTGATGCAGAGAATGTCAGTGTATGTAGAAGCATGTTTCTTTGTTTGCCTGCATTTGAAGTGTATAAAAAGGCAGTCAACGCCTTTATTGGGCACTCTGGTTTCCTTTTGGACACAACTCCTCACCAGTGTCCCAGCTGGAAATAAACATACTTTTCAGACCTCCTAAATCAGTGGTTCTCAACCTTCCTAATGCAGTGACCCCTTAATAAAGTTCCTCGTGTTGTGGCGACCACCCCTCCCCCCCCAACCATAACATTACTTTCGTTGCTACTTCATAACTGTCATTTTGCTACTGTTATGAATCGTAATGTAAATATTTGATATGCAGGATGTATTTTCATTTACTGGACCACATTTGGCACAAGTATCCGATACACCCAAATTTCAATACTGGTGGGGCTGATTTTGTCGTTTGGGAGTTGTACTTGCTGGGATTTATAGTTCACCTACAATCAAAGAGCATTCTGAACTCCACCAATGATGGAATTGAACCAAACTTGGCACACAGAACTCTCATGCCCAACAGAAAATACTGGAAGGGTTTGTGGGCATTGACCTTGAGTTTTGGAGTTGTAGTTCACCTACATCCAGAGAGCACTGTGGACTCAAAGAATGTTGGAGCTGGACCAAACTTGGCACAAATATTCAATATGCCCAAATGTGAACACTGATGGAGTTTGAGGAAAATAGACTTGACATTTGGGGGTTGTGTTTGCTAGGATGTTCACCTACAATGAAAAAGTATTCTGAACCCCACCAACTATAGATTTGGGCCAAACTTCCCACACAGAACCCCCATGACCAACAGAAAATATTGTGTTTTCTGATGGTCTTTGGTGACCCCTTTGACATCCCCTGGTGACCCCCCCCCAAGTGTCCCAACCCCCAGGTTGAGAACCACTGTCCTAAATGGATCTCTCTTGATATAATCTCTCCTATCATTTCTGCAACAGTTGCAGACCAAGGGCCACCCTAAGTCTAAAGTTTAGGGCAAAAGGATGGGAAAAGGATCTTGAAGGGCCACATCCAGACCACAGGCCATTGTTTCTAGACTCTTGCTCTATAGTGTATGTCATGGCAGTGTAGGGATGGCATCATAGACTCATAGAGTTGGAAGGGACCTCAAGGGCCATCCAGTCCAACCCCATTCTGACAAGAAGCAGGAAAATCGCATTCAAAACACCCCCGACAGATGGCCATAAAGCCTCCAAGGAAGAAGCCTCTACCACACTCCAGGGCAGATAGTTCCACTGCTGAACAGCTCTCTCACACAGTTAGGAAGTTCTTCCTCACATTCAGGTGGAATCTCCTTTCCTGTCGTTTTAAGGCATTGTTCTGCATTCTAGTCTGCGGGGCAACAGAAAGGAAGCATGCTCCCACCTCCCTATGACTTCCCCTCACATGTTGATCCATGGCCCTCATTCTGTCTCCTCTCATCTTCTCTTCTGCAGGCTAAACATGCCCAGCTCTTTAAGCTGCTCCTCATAGGGTTTGTTCTCCAGACCTTTGATCCTTTCAGTTGCCCTCATTATTATTGTATGTTTATTTGTAGCCTGATTTTTCTATCCACAAGGAGACTCTTCCCAGCCTCAGACTGTGCATCTTGCTTACCTCTGTTGTGTTGATTTTGTTTCCTTGCAGGGATCTTGTTTACAATGCTGGTGTTTGGGCCAGCCTGTGGATTTATCTTGGGCTCATTCTGTACCAAAATCTATGTGGATGCCATCTTCATTGACACAAGTAAGGATGCCTTTTCTCTCTTTCTGTGGTTGAATAAGAAGCACTGCAGAAGGGAAACTCTGCAGAAGCAAGTGGGAGGACAAGTCTATTTTTTGAAAGGCAAACTAAGGATTTTTTTTTAAAAAAACTGCAAGTTTGATTGATTTTGTCATTTGGGAGTTGTAGTTGCTGGGATTTATAGTTAACCTGCAATCAAAGAGCATTCTGAACTCCACCAATGATGGAATGGAACCAAACTTGGCACACAGAACTCCCATGACGAACATAAAATACTGGAAGGGTTTGATGGGCATTGACCTTGAATTTTGGAGTTGTAGTTCACCTATATCCAGAGAACTGAAGACTCAAACAATGATAGATCTGGACCAACTTGGTACGAATACTCAATATACCCAAATGTGAACACTGGTGGAGTTTGGGGAAAATAGACCTTGACATTTGGGAGTTGTAGTTTCTGGGATTTATAGTTCACCTACAATCAAAGAGCATTTTGAATCCCACCAACATTAGAATTGGGCCAAACTTCCCACACAGAACCCTCTTGACCAACAGAAAATACTGTGTTTTCTGATGGTCTTTGGCAACCCCTCTGACATCCCCTCGTGACCCCCCAGGGGTCCCGACCCCCAGATTGAGAAACACTGCTTTAAAATGTCCTTTCACCTTCCCCCAACCTCAGAGCCCCAAGTGCTGTTGGATTGCAATTCCCATTATATCCCAAGTCCGCATTGAAGACAGCACTATATAACACAAATTTTTTCCTGGGTTATAAATGTCATTTCCTAATTGGTTCTACCATAAAAACATGGGGAAAATGGCTTGTTGTGAGTTTTCCAGAGTGTATGGCCATGTTCCAGAAGCATTATCTCCTGATGTTTCGCCCACATCTACAGCAGGCATCCTCAGAGGTTGGGAGATCTGTTGGAAACTAGAAAAATTGAGATTATATATCTGTGGAATGTCCAGGGTGGGAGAAAAAACTCTTGTCTGCTTGAGGCAAGTGTGAATGTTGTCATTGGCCAGTTTGATTAGGATTTAAAGGTCTGGCAGTTTTTAAACCCCATTTTCCTAGTTTCCAACAGACCTCACAACCTCTGAGGATGCCTGCCATAGATGCGGGTGAAACGTCAGGAGTGAATGCTTCTGGAATATTGCCATACAGCCCGAAAAACACACATCAACCTATTCTGGCCGTGAAAGCCTTCGATGACACATGGAGAAAAGTTTATTAAACTGCCAAAACTTTGTTCTTGCAAGACATCCTGCTGTAGCACATTTGCCGTAGTTTTTCAATGAATATCTCATCATAGAGTCTCAGCCAATTCAATGCAGTTTGTGGCAGACACAAAAACAAAGTTTCTGGAGTAGAACAACTACTTTCAAAGTCAGGGCTGCACAATGAAACATGGAATACTTTCAAACCAGGAACAGGGACTTTATTCAAATATTGTTACATAATGCAATCTAAAGGGATGGGAGTTGTCATTCAATGATACTAGTGGACAGAAATTAGTAAAAACTAAAGAGCACCAACCATCCTGTAAAAAAATATAATTGTATCCAACTATCCATGGACAAAAAATCCTCTGTATCCTTTGAAGGCATTGGCAACCGTAAGGCATGAAAATGGGTTTAATAATAATAATAGTAATAATAATAGTAATAATAATAATAATAATAATAATTATTATTATTATTATTATTATTTTACTGACACAAAATCACAGTATGTCACAGCAAATGAGATCTGTATGCTGGATTTCGTATCACAAAATCACAAGTCAAACACTTCCCTGGCATCTAGGACTGGGTGATGTATTTTCGAATGATGCGTTCAGATCCAGGTAAGGTGGCCTTTTGCAATTGACAGATTGTGATTTTGTCAAAGTTTGTTGTTTCCAAATGCTGGCTGAGATCCTTTGGCATGGCACCCAGTGTCCCAATGACCACTGGGACCACCTGCACTGGTTTATGTCAGAGCCTTTGCAGTTTGATTTATTATTATTATTATTATTATTATTATTATTATTATTAGGACTGTGTGATGCACACATTATTTGCCGATACATCACACAGTCCTAGACACTTGGAAAGTGTCCGACGTGTGATCCAATACAACAGCCAGCAGAGTGCTCTCGTTTGCTGTGTACTAACCGTGTTGTGTTTCAAATAATAATCATAATAATAATAGTTATTATTATTGTTTTATTATTATTATTATTATTATTATTATTGGGAAGTTTATGACGTATGCTCCAATACAACAACCAGCATACCGATCTTGTTTGCTGTGTACTAATCGTGTTGTGTTTCAAATAATAATAATAATAATAATAATAATAATAATAATAATAGTTATTATTGTTATTGTTATTATTATTATTGGGAAGTTTATGACGTATGCTCCAATACAACAACCAGCATACTGATCTTGTTTGCTGTGTACTTATCTTGTTGTGTTTCAAATAATAATAATAATAATAATAATAATAATAATAATAATAGGGAAGTGTCTGACGTATGCTCCAATACAACAGCCAGCATAGTGATCTTGTTTGCTGTGTACTAATCTTGTTGTGTATCAAATAGTAATAATAATAATAATAATAATAATAATAATAATAATAATAATAACCTTTGATTTATACCCTGACACCATTTCTCATAGGGATTCGGTGGCTTACAAACACACAATAGTGCCATACAACATATAACATACAGTATAACCACATTAAAACGATGATGTCTTCTGACTGTTTTACACCCCATGACTTCTTCTGACCAGCTGCCCATTCTTGCATGTTTTCTCCCCATTGTCACTACCCAACCTGTCTTCTGTCCCTCTGCAGGTAAGCTGGACATCACCCCCGATGACCCAAGGTGGATTGGCGCATGGTGGGCAGGCTTCTTGCTCTGTGGTGCCTTACTTTTCTTTTCGTCTCTCCCGATGTTTGGATTCCCACAGTCCCTGACCCACCAGCCAGAGCAGACGACAGAGGCTGAGCAGGCCATGCTTCCCGAGCGGGACTACGAGAGGCTGCCAAAGCCCAGCAACGGGGTCCTCCCGGGAAACAATGTCACCGTGGAAGCGGGAGAGGGCGCCTCCTGCCTCCAGCAGCTGAGAGGTGACGCACTTCCCCCATAGCCCACCTCTTCTGCAGGACTTCTGCGGGAGCCCACAGGTTAATGGCCGGCTGGATCCCTCCCCTGACCCACATGCTGGGGGCATCTGCACCATAGAATTAACACACATTGGCACCACTGGAAAATGCCTTGGCTCAGTGCTGTGGAATCCTGTGAGATGTCATAATCATCAGCGATCGCTTGTGTCCGAGTATGATTGCCTTCCAAGTGTAGTGTCTTGGCAATGGGTCTGTAGGTGATTGTAGAGTCCTATTCTTCATATACATGTTCTTCTGCAGTGAGGAACTCATAGCAACCCAATGGTTGATATTGATATACACATAGGTTAATGGTCACTATGCTTATGTTTGCAGCTTGTAGCTTTAAAATACCTTACAAGCACGGCTTTAGTGTACTAGACATTGCGTACTTTGCACATTGTGTACATATAATCTACTGCACGTGTACTTGTATAGCCAGAGTGTATATAGATTGTGCTGGGCACTCTATGTTAAAATAAACCAAGATCTCTCTGTTGCAGAAGAACAAGGACATAGCCACAGTTTTAGGATTTATTTGGTTGCTGTGAGTTTTCTGCAGAGACATTGATTTCCAGGTGGAAGGCAGTCCCAACAAAGGTTGACTTGGTGCACCTTCTTCTTCTTGACATGTTTCTCTCCATTGCCCTTCATTTGAGCCTCTTCAAATTCCACAGCACTGTTGGTCACAGCTGACCTCTAGTTCTAATGCTAGGTGTCGATGCCACAGTTTTTAAGATTCTTGAGTTGGGAGTAGAGTAACTGCTTCCCAGGAGATTTGCAGGATTTTTCAGAAGCAATGCTGATGGAGTTGAGAATGACATCTGAAGACAATCCACATTTCACAGGCACAGAACAGGATTGGGAGGATAATGGGTTTATAAGCAAGCATCTTGGTCTCCCTAAAGGTACCCCAATCCTCATATTCTCTCTGCTTCATTTGGAAAAATGCTGCACTTGCAGAGCTCTAGCAGTGTTGTATTTCAGTGTCAAGGTTGATTTTTGTGGAGAGGCGGCTGCCAAGGAAGCAGAAATGGTCAACATTTTCTAACACCATTTAACTGTATTTCTGACATTGCAGAGAGATTGCCTGGCGCCTTTGCTGAAAGGCACCAGCTATTTTTGTGGCCTCCAAGGATTAATATATTTTAATCCTTGGAGGTCACATATTTCTCCATGTTCAGTGAGAGGCCAAGCTTTCTGTATGCAAAGGTGTTTAGAGTGACTTGTAGGTCTTCTGAATGACCACAAATTTCATTATCATCAGCATATTGGAATTTGCACTTGGTTTTGGCTTTCAGTCCGCTGAGGTTGAATAACTTGCCATCTGTCCAATCAATGATTTCCATGCCGGTAGGAACCTTCCCATCAACAAGGTGCAGTATCATAACAATAATCAGGTTCAGACAACAACATATCGCTATTTGACACCTGATTCCACCTTAAATGGGTCACTTTGGGAGTTGTAGTTTGGTGAGGATGCAGAACCGTTCGTCTATGGCAGAGAAGGCCATAGTTTTAAAACGACATTTCCTGTGATTCCATAGCGTTGAACCATGGCTATTCAAATGGTGTCAAACTGAATGAATTCTATTGTGTAGATGTGCCCCTTGAGACTTTCCTTCATAGGAGTGTAAGTGGTTACTTTAGATCGCAGATGGGCAACCACACAAGGGTTCAAGGCTATTTTTCTACCAATGGGATACAATGTGTGTTTCGAAATACCCACAGTGGCCCCCATTATGAACATTTTAGAAGTTTTCTTTTGTGGACAGAACAGGAGAGAGCTTTGCAGAGGTGCTGCATAGTTAACCAATGTTGTTTGGGTGCATTTCTGGAGCTGAAAACGCACCCAAAAAATTGTCTTGATGTTTTCCTCTCCCTATCTGTACACTTGGATCTAGGCTGCCCATTCCATTGTCAAATGTCTCTTATAGTAAGGAAGTTCTTCCTAATGTTTACCTGGAAGCTCTTTTCTTGCCATTTGAATCCATTAATTCAAGTCCTTTGAGCCATAGAAAATGGCTTGATCTGCATGATGATGATGATGATGGTGGTGATGATGGTGGTGGTGATGATGGTGGTGGTGGTGGTGGTGGTAATAATAATAATAATAATAATAATAATAATAATAATAATACACTTTATTTATATTCTGCCCTTCTCCCCTAGGGGATTCAGAGTGGATTACAGCATTTACATATATAGGCAAACATTCAATGCCTTTACAATCACATGAGACACACAAACACAAACAAAGGCAAAAGCTTCTCCTTTCATTTCCGGCTCCTGGAGGCAGTGCTCATCTCTGGCTCTGGGAGGTGCTTTCCTCCATTTTTAAACTGGGGAGCCTGCATTGTCACCTCCTGGCCAAGATTGCTTGGAGCGTCTCTGCCGTTTCCTGCCGAAGCAGTACCTATTTATCTACTCACATTTGCATGTTTTCAAACTGCTAGGTTGGGAGGAACTAGGGCTGACAAAGGAAAGTTCACCCCATCTTGCAGATACCAGTTCAGATATTTAAATAACTATCATATCAACTGAGAGTCAGCATGGTATAGTGGTTTGAGCATTGAACTCTGAAAGCAAGAGTTGGATTCCCTGCTCAGCCACAGAAACGCACTGGCTAACTGGGTGAAATATGCACTCAGCCCCACAAAACCAGTGTCACCATAAGTCTAGTTGTGCAGGCCAAAAATGGCTGCTTTTGAAACCCTGAGATATTAAAATCAGAGAAGAGAGAAGGAGCGGCTTAAAGAGCTGGGCATGTTTAGCCTAAAGAAGAGAAGGCTGAGAGGAGACATGATAGCCATGTATAAATATGTGAGAGGAAGCCATAGGGAGGAGGGAGCGAACTTGTTTTCTGCTGCCCTGGATACTAGGACGTGGAACAATGGCTTCAAACTACAAGAAAGGAGATTCGATCTGAAGATGAGGAAGAACTTCCTGACTGTGAGAGCTGTTCAGCAGTGGAACTCTCTGCTCCAGAGTGTGGAAGAGGCTCCTTCTATGGAAGTTTTTAAACAGAGGCTGGATGGCCATCTGTCAGGGGTGCTTTGAATGCAATTTTCCTGCTTCTTGGCAAGGAGTTGGATTAGATGGCCCATGAGATCTCTTCCAACTCTTTGATTCTATGAAGTAATGACGTCTTCAAGATCACACCATTCTCAGTCCCATTGTGCTGTGGTTTCAGAGGGATAATGCTCAAACGGCATGTTTTTTCTTCACCAGGAATTAGTCACCAGGTATTAAGATGAGCAGAGCTTCCTTTGCCTTTCTACTCAAGTTGTGACAGCTCTGGAAGAATTAAAATGCTTACGGAAATAAAAAATGTTCCCACTAATACATTACCTTAAAAGTCACTTTTCTCTCTTGGATCTAGGAAACCAAATGAGTGTTTTGCATGAGATTTTTGGTTGAAAGATGAATCTTTGTGAAGATCTTGAGATGAACTAAAAATAAACAGGGAGCACAAACTTACATCAGAGGGATGAGACGTCATTTTAGATTAATAGGGTTTTGTGGTGACAGCGCAACTCTTTTGTATCAAGAACCAAATGCCTGTTTGGAAGCCTGCATCTGGAAGCACAATGTGCAATCACAGTGGTGCATGCACACAACTCTGCCTTCACATCATTGAATGGAATATAGATAGATGTTCTGCATTGGACAAAAATGTCCAGCTGGAGTTCTTTGGTCTTTAGGGCTGTTTTCCTGGAAATCTTTGGATACTCTTAAGACTGTTTTCCCCTGGAAAATCTTGGATGCTCTTAAGACTGTTTTCCCCTGGAAAGTCTTAAGGATTGAAGCTTTTGTACAGGGGAAGCTTGCACACATCCTGTACATTAGCTTTCCTTGCTGAGACTAACTAAAAAATGGCTCCCTTCCCTTCCCAATTGCCCTGAGCAAGGGGCGGAACCAAAACTTAACAATGATGGACAGGTGACTTGCCCTATGACTGCAACCAAAAGAAGCCACCTATCTGCAGAGTCCCTGAAATCTGGGACTGCAAACAAACATTTAATACAAAGCAAATAAAGTTGGAGCTCCTGGTACAGCCGTACCAGCACAGACTGGATGGCCCTTGGGGGTCTCTTCCAACTCTAGGATTCTATATCAGGAGTAGGCAAAATGGGGTCTAATGAATACACTTTTTCTCTCATGTCCACCATCTCGTCCTGACCAAGGCCAGCCCTTTTGGGATCCAAACGTTTCTTGTGTTTCCTTCACTTTATGTCTCTGAAAGAGAAGAGGAAGGGGAAGAAATGGCTGGATTTACACTTTAAAAACATACCTGTTCCAGTTTACAAATAAATTCAACCTAAGGACAAACCTACAGAACCTATCTTTTTCATAATTTGGGGACTGCTTGCATATCCCAGTGTGATAAGGTCCATAGTTCCACCATCAGGACTTCTGGCAGATGCTGAGCATTGAGTCTCACTGGAGGACCTACAGAGAATACTTATCTAGGAATCTATGTCCTCCAACAACAAAAGGAGACTTGTAATGTTCTCTTACTTCCACTAGATGGTCGTGTTGACTTTAGAATCATCTAAGCAGTCTGAATATTTATCTGATTTGTATCATTTCTTTCCATTTATCATGCTTTGGAAAGTGATGTTTTTGGACCACCACTCACAGAACCCACTGCTTACAGCCTTTCCCTCAAAATGGGATGCCAGGAAGTTTGGAAAGTGGGTCTCAAAGGATTCCATAAATAGCTGGCTCCCCTAGATAGAAGAATACATCCTGGGAGCTGTAGTGGATAGCTTTGTGAAGCCCCTTTTTCTTCTTGTTTCCACCTTCTAGTGATCCCTAAAGTAACTAAGCACTTGCTCTCCAACCCGGTCTTCACCTGCATCGTCCTGGCCGCTTGCATGGAGATAGCGGTGGTCGCCGGCTTTGCGGCCTTCCTGGGGAAGTACCTGGAGCAGCAGTTCAATCTCACAACGTCTTCAGCCAACCAGCTATTGGGTGAGTCACTCAAAAGGTGCGCCCATCCAAAGGGGTGTTTGCGACTGTCAAGAGACAGCAGTCGTTGGGGTGAAGGACCAGATCAACTGAAATGGAGCCAGCTGCATCTAGCTTGCCATTCAAACATCTAAATTGGAGTCATTGGAACCAAAGCAAGACATGTTTATGCCTATTTCACATACACATCGCCGGGTTGAGAGAGAATCTCTGACCCCAGCTCATTTAGGGAACATCATGAAAAGTAGGGCGCAGACTATGACTTCTCATGTTTTGTTTCTTCTCCTTTGTTTCCTCCCAGGCATGACTGCAATTCCCTGTGCCTGCCTGGGCATTTTTCTGGGAGGCCTCTTGGTTAAGAAGCTGAGCCTCTCTGCTCTTGGGGCCACGCGCATGGCCATGATGGTCAACCTGGTGTCCACGGCGTGCTATGTCTCTTTCCTCTTCCTGGGCTGTGACACGGGCCCTGTGGCAGGCGTTACTGTTCCCTATGGAAACAAGTGAGTAGAGCCAGGTCTCGTTCTAGCTCAGATTCCAGTTTTTCTCCAAGATACAGCCGTGGCTTTTCTGGATTTCTTCTTGATTCACTTGATCTAGTTTAACATACGTGGCCAACTTTAGTAGACACATGCAAAAAAAAGATGGGACAGGGGAATGACATGATCTCAGTTTACACATACCCACCCATTGTTTCACGTATCCATATCCAACAAAGTATGTCTTCCCTAGGCATTTTCTAGATCATCCAGTATGACTGTATTGTATAATCAGATTGAACGTCCTTTGAGTTTTGGAGTTGTAGTTCACCTACATCCAAAAAGCACTGTGGACTCAAACAATGATGGATCTGGACAAAATGTGGCACAAATAGTCAATATGCCCAAATGTGAACACTGGTGGAGTTTGGGAAAAATAGGCCTTGACATTTGGGAGTTGTAGTTGCTGGGATTTGTAGTTTTCTGAACCCCACCAAAGATAGAATTGGGCCAAACTTCCCATACAGAACCCCCATGACCAATAGAAAATACTGTGCTTTCTGATGCTCTTTGGTGACCCCTTTGACACCCCCTCATGACCCCCTAGGAATCCTGACCCCCAGGTTGAGAAACACTGATCTACATTCTAAGTTTTACACCACTTTAACTGCCATGGTTCAGTGCTTGGGCATCATGGGAGTTGTATATTTACAAGACTTCTCTTCCAGTGAGTGCTAGGGCTTCACCAATCCAAAACTCTTGGAGATGAGACTCAAGTCTAAACATGAAGTCCAGGGTTCGATACCATTGATCCATGATAGTTAAAGTGGTGTCAAACTCCATTAATTCTACAATACAGATGCTTCTTAAGATTCATTTCAGCCAAGAGGAAAAGTACATGATCAGTATAGGGTGAGCATCCCTCAAATCATTTATGTCGGTCATAGACCAGCACAGGAAATAAAAGTCACATTTTCAGATGAACTTGGTACATTTAAAATGTGGGTGACCATCCTTTATCTGGGATTCGAAGAGAGTGATATTTTGATGGTTAAGTGGACACAACGCTGTTTCATTCACACCAAACTATTAAAAATATTGTGTGTCAAATTACCTTCAAGATTTGGTCCTGACTCCAAGATGTCTCTTTATATATGTATATACAATACAGTTATTCTAAAATCCAAAAATTTTCTGGTCCTAAGATAATAAATCTTCAGCCCAGGTAGCAATGGAGCTCCTTCACACCCTTCTGCAACCTTCTGGGTAATCCATAGCTAAGAAGGTTTGAACATTTTCAATAATAATAATAATAATAATAATAATAATAATAATAATACTTTATTTATACCCCACCACCATCTCCCCAAGGGAACTCGGGGTGGCTTACATGAGGCCACGCCCATCAATAATAATATAATAATAATAATACTTTATTTGTACCCCGCTACCATCTCCCCAAGGGACTTGGTGCGGCTTACATGAGGCCGAGCCCACAATACATCAATACATGCAATAACAACAACAATAAAACAATTAAAATTAAACTCATAAACAAAATAGCAATAAAATGACAATAATACAACACACGTTTAAAATCTATGGCTGGGCCAAATGTAATTAAAGTTAAAAAATAATGCTAGGCATAAACAAGATAGGAGAGGTGGGGCGTTGGTGAGAGTGTACAAACAATCCTAAGTCAGTGTAAAGTGCATTTAGAGCAGTGGTTCTCAACCTTCCTAATGCCACGACCCCTTAATACAGTTCCTCATGTTGTGGTGACCCCCAACCATAACCCTAACATTATGAATCGCCATGTAAATAATGATCTACAGGATGTATTTTCTTTCACTGCAGCAAATTTGGCACAAATACCCGGCATGCCCAAATTTGAATACTGGTGGGGTTGGCGGGGAGATTGATTTTGCCATTTGGGAGTTGTAGTTGTTGGGATTTATAGTTCACCTACAATCAAGAAGTGTTCTGAACCCCAACCATGATAGAATTGGGCCAAACATCCCACACAGAGACCCCCATGACCAATAGAAAATACTGTGTTTTCTGATGGTCTTTGGCGACCCCTCTGACACCCCTTCGCGACCCCTCCAGGGGTCCTGACCCCCAGGTTGAGAAACACTGATTTAGAGGGCACAATGCTGAGAGTTCATTATTCTGGGAAAGCACACTGGAACAACCACGTTTTCAGGCTCCTCCTAAAGACTGCCAGAGTTACACAATATAACACAAAAAACAATACAGAAAATCAAAAAATAAAATAACATAAAATATAAATAATATTACCAGACCTTGTTCTTCCTTCCCAACTGCTAATGTTTCCTCCTTGCTCCCTTTTCCTTTCCTCTTTTTCAGATCAGTACTGTCATCCAACCTGGCCCCGTATTCTGCCTGCAATAACAACTGTAAATGCCAAACGGATTCCTTCACTCCGGTCTGTGGGGCGGACGGGGTCACATACTTATCGGCCTGCTTTGCTGGATGCACAAGCACGGTAAACCATCAACCATGCCTTCCAACTGTCCCAATTTGTCTGAGACAGTGCCGGTATAATCCTTGGTCCTCCTACTTGTTAAAGTAACCTCCTCTCACTTCCCCCTTTGTCCACAACTTACTTCTGTTTCTGAAAACTGGGTTCAAAATATCAAAATGGCTTTATTCATATAAGTCAACGGGAGTAAAAGGAGGAGGAGAAGGGACAAAATCTTACCCTTCTCAGAAGACTCAGACTGCATCCTCTCCAAGTTCATCTGTTCTCCAGTATTGATAATGTCAGCATTTTAATCACACTGTGATGTTATTGGCCACAAGTGTTCGAGTTTGCTGGTCATGCACATTTTAGTTGTTTACATTTTAAAAGATATTCATTGTTTACAGATAACCTTGAGACACATCCGACTAAGTTTCAATTATGCCTATTATGCCATATTTGCACTGTTGTGTTAAGAGTTCAAGTTCATCTTGTTTATTTCCCATACTCTTGGCTTGTGGTGCATTCGCCTTGTTCTTCTGGATACTGTATTTTGGACAACCACAAGTTTCTGGCTCTACTTTCCTTTCTTGGCCTTGGGCTGTAGAACATCACCTTCATCTCTTGCAACTGACAACATTTCCCCCAATATTGAAACCTTGCTTCATTCTGACCATGGCTCATGGATTCTGGATGCCTAAAGCTGAATATGGTGGAAGATATCATTGGTCCACATCTGGCTTTGAAACATAACAAAATGCTTCTGCAATTCTTCTCCTTTTCCTACTTATTTACTTGGGCAATCCCTCTTCAAATTCTACAGCACTGCTGGTTACAGCTGTCCTCCAGCTGGAACGCTTCCAGCTGGGCTTCCAAGTTCTCTGTGTATATGTCAGTGTTTTTAAGGTTGGCTGTGAGCCCATCTTAAAATCTCTTTTCCTGCCCACCAACATTCAGTTTCCCATTCCTGAGTTCGGAATAGAGCAACTGCTTTTCACCAGCCACAGAATAGCCATTCAAGGGGCTATTTCAGCAAATAGACACAATGGAGATGTGCTGCTGCTAGTGTAAGCAATGCAGGATCTTAGCCACTAATTGTTGTACCTGTAATAGTCAAAGCCCAGGATGATCCATTTTACAGTTAGCTGTATGACATTGCAATGCAATACCTTCTAAGTGTTGTTGAAGGCTTTCATGACTGGAATCACCGGGTTGTGGTGAGTTTTCCAGGCTGTCTGGCCATGTTCCAGAATCATTCCCTCCTGATGTTTCACCTGCATCTATGACAAGGATGAGGTTGTGAGGTCTGTTGGAAACTAGGAAAATTGGGTTTATATATTTGTGAAATAATGCCCAGGGTGGGAGGAAGAACTCCTGTCTGCTGGAGGCAGGTGTGAATGCTGCAATTAGCCAGCTTGGTTAGCATTGAATGGCCTTGCAGCTTCAAAGCCTGGCTGCTTCCTGCCTGGGGGAATCCTTTGTTGGAGGTCTACGTCCCTGCAATAGATGTGGTTGAAATGTCAAGAGAGAATGTTTCTGGAACATGCCCATACAGTCCAGAAAACTCACAGCAACCCAATACCTTCTAAGTTCAGAAGGGAGAGAGCCTTCTCCTCTGTGGCTCCCCGACTCTGGAACTCATTGCCCGGTGAGATTAGGAAAGCCCCTACCTTAGAAACCTTTAAAAAGAATCTCAAGACCTGGCTCTGCCGTTGCGCTTTTGGAGAGTAGCACACAAGCTTTAGCTATTGCCCCCGTCAACATTTTGACCTAGGAGTACCCCCCCCCCCCGTACGAAGGTATGTTTATTACACTGTTTCTCTATGAGTTCCCCATGCAAATAATCTGCTCCTTTTATCTCACCCTGAGTTTTGAAACCATTTTATTGTACATGCGGCCTGCTCACTGTCATTAGGTTGTTTATTGCTTTCTTATACTTTGTGTATATTGCTTATTGTATTTATATGCTTTGTACTTTGTTGCAATGATGTTTATTTTATTTTATTGTAATTTGTATTGTATTTTATTGTGATTTGTTGTTTGGGCTTGGCCTCATGTGAGCCGCCCCGAGTCCCCGTTGGGGGAGATGGTGGTGGGGTATTTTTTTACCGTGTCAGTATCAACCAGACAATTATATTACATTTTTAACAAATTTTAACAAACAGACAAAACAGAGTTTGCAAGTTTGGTAGTTGATTAAATGTCCTTTGACCAGTATCTGGCCACTTGGAGTGCCTCTGGTGTTGCCGCAAGAAGGTCCTCCATTGTGCATGTGGCAGGGCTCAGGTTGCATCGCAGCAAGTGGTCAGTGGTTTGCTCTTCTCCGCACTCGCATGTCAAGGATTCCACTTTGTAGCCCCATTTCTGAAGGTTGGCTCTGCATCTCGTGGCGCCAGAGCGCAGTCTGTTCAGCGCCTTCCAAGTCGCCCAGTCTTCTGTGTGCCCAGGGGGGAGTCTCTCATTTGGTATCAGCCATTGATTGAGGTTCTGGGTTTGAGCCTGCCACTTTTGGACTCTCGCTTGCTGAGGTGTTCCAGCGAGTGTCTCTGTAGATCTTAGGAAACTATTTCTTGATTTAAGTCATTGACGTGCTGGCTGATACCCAAACAAGGGATGAGCTAGAGATGTCACCGCCTTGGTCCTTTCACTATTGGCTGCTACAGATGGTGCAATACCAGCTAAACAGTGTAATTTCTCCAGTTGTGTAGGGCGCAGACAACCCGTGATAATGCGGCATGTCTCATTAAGAGCCACATCCACTGTTTTAGCGTGGTGAGATGTGTTCCACACTGGGCATGCATACTCAGCAGCAGAGTAGCATAGCGCAAGGGCAGATGTCTTCACTGTGTCTGGTTGTGATCCCCAGGTTGTGCCAGTCAACTTTCTTATGATATTGTTTCTAGCACCCACTTTTTGCTTGATGTTCAGGCAGTGCTTCTTGTAGGTAAGAGCATGGTCCAGAGTGACTCCCAGGTATTTGTGATGTAGAGATAAAATTTAGGGGTCTTTGCCAGGAGGCAGAGACCAATTAGACTCATCAAAGAGTTCTTTTTCCCTGGCGAGACAGAGAAGCATCCCATATTTTTTCCTGATTTCCCAATGAAAGGTCTCACCAAGTTGAAGAGAAGCCATCGAGGTTGTATTTGCGATTCAGCTGTAAAAGATGCCGAGCTGCAATCATTCGCCAGCAGAGCATGAGAAGAGTACACCAATACAGTCATATTTATAGTGAATTCGAAGTTGTAGAGTTCAAACTCCCCGCCCCGGCTTCCCTGTTGTTCCCCGCCATGATTGGGTGATAGGCAAACAGCTGGGAGGTGGCCCTCCCGTCCCTGGTGCCTCTGGACCAATCAGGAAGCTCCAGTGGTCTGTAGGACCCAATGGGGAGACCTCTGCCATCTGGTGGCAACAGCAAATCAGGAGAGAGGGAGGCGGGATGAGAGAGCACAAAGGAATCTGGGAAGGAGTCTTTAAACAAAGGAAATGCCATGTGGCCTGAGACAAAAAGCTCAAACAGGGCCGATCTATTGTGTTCATGAGTGTTGTGAATCAACATGTGTAAAAATATCCAGATCCTTCCTGGCTGTGAGACAGGAGAACAATGATGGCAGCCTGAGGTTAATGCTATCAATGGGAAGTAAACAAAAGCAGAGGGGAAGATTTCCCCTTATCTTACTTGAAGAATGACAAAAACTTTTGCCAAACAATTCTTTACTCTAGTGGGCCATTTCCGATGCTAGAGATAAGAATCTCCTTCTTTTATCCCTGCAAGTGTGTCTTTGGTGGGAGGTTTCATTAATCGCTAATGGCTTTTGTTTCTGAAGGCCAGGGGGTTCCCTTACATATTTCTTTGGAGGGAGAAGGGGCAAAGGGTCAGGAATACAAGGAAACATAAAAAACATATAGAAATTATACACAGGGAAATCATATGCAGGTATCTTCCCATCCAGGGCCCCAGAGAGAAATTAATAATGCCAATGATAAAAAGCAGACAATATCAGGACACAGCATGAATTCATAAGTTGTCTTGAAGAAAGTTCATGGGTAGAGAGCGAGTCCTTGAAGAGAGTGAAGTCCAGGAATGTAGCAGAATTCAAAAAGCCACCAAAGGGAGTCTATGGAGTTCCACTGGGCCAAGGCACAAAGCCCCGCAGCCGGTCCCATGGTCCTTGGAAAACTACAGCTCTCTCTCGAGAGAGGCAGAGATCCCAAGGTCTAGCCATTCCCGAAGTTTCATGGGATCCTCATTGTTGTTAGGGTCTTGGCAAATTGACCAAGACTTAACCCCTATTGTGCAGTCTGGTACCCTTGTCCTTTTGCAGGACTATAAGTTACCATCCCTTGTTGGGGGGGGGGCATGCTCGACTTCATTTGGGTGCGCTGCAATGCTCCAGTGGGATTATTTCCCAGGTGATCATCAGAGCTCGGGATGCTTGTCTGTTCTTGAGATGAAAAGCACATGTCTGTGCTTTAGATGGGTTAGGGATCAGCTGATTTTCCCTGTAATAGGCAGTAAGAGCATCTAGAGCTTCGGAGAGCTTCTGTTCAACCATCTCAAAGCTCTCCGCTTGAGCAGTAATGTGGTACAAATAAAGTTTAATAATAATAATAATAATAATAATAATAATAATAATAATATCCTGCACATTTTGTTTGTGCAAAATTACATTGGCATGTAGATTGTGCCATTTCTGATCACTCCCCTATTTTATGTATTCTTCTGTGCGAAATGCACAATGGCAAATGTCAGGGAAAAGGAAAATGGAAGAGTGAAGAAGGGCTTGAGCAGATGTGTAGCTGTCCTTTGCAGAGAGCACAGAGCAAGGCGAGTTGGGCAGAAACCGTGAGGTCCTTGCAGTCTCTTTTTAGCTCATTTCGCTCAAATGTCACACCTTTCCCAGCGACATCTCTTTCATCCTCACTTTCCCTCCCCCTCTCTACCTCTTTCATCTTCTTTTTCGATGTCTCTCTGGAGAGCGACAGTGATAGTCAGCGGATCTCTACAACTTGACAAAGAGAATAAT